CCTCCTGGCTGCCAGGGCACTGCTGACTCATATTCAACTTGCCATCAGTCAGGACCTCAGGTTCATTCCCAAGGCACTGCTTTCTAGCACCTCATTCCCCAGCCTGTATGAACACATAGGGTTGCCCCATCCCAGGTGCAGAATCCTGCACTTCCCCTTGTTGAACTCCATATGGTTGGTGATCGCCCAGTCCCTAATTTGTTGAGGTCTCTCTGCAGGGCCTCCCTGCCTTCAAACAGCTCCTCCCGGTTTTGTGTCACCTGCAAATTTGCTTAGTATCCATTCCAGTCCCATGTCCCAGTCATTTATGAAGATGTTGAAGAGCACAGGGCCCAAGATGGAGCCCTGTGGAACCCCACTAGTGAGAGGTCACCAGTCTGATGTTCCCCCATTCACTATTACCCTCTGTGCTCCACCCGTGAGCCAACTGCTCATCCACCACATGATGTGTTTATCCAGCTGTGTGCTGGACATTGTGTCCAGAAGGATCCTGTGAGAGACATTATTGAAAGCTTTACTGAAATACAAAAAGATTACCTCAAGAGGCTTCCCTTGATCAACTAGCTGGGTTACCTTGGCTAAGCAGGACTTTCCCCTCATGAAGCCGTGCTGGCTGTGACCAACAACTGCCTTGTCTTACAGGTGTTTTTCAATACTACGCAGAATAATCTTTTCCATAACTTTAACAGGCACCAAGGTGAGACTGACAGGTCTGTAGTTTCCAGGGTCCTCAACTTATTAGGAAATCCAAGCACTGTCTTTGAGATACACTGATTTTCCCTCTGTCTAAAAAGCTGAATTTCTGCATTTCTGCAAGAGTTTTAGAACTCAAGAGCTCTACCAGGTATCTGAAGTTAAGTTATAAAGCCCAAGGCTGTTTTAAGATACCAGTTCTAGCCTTCAAGTTATCAAATCTATTTTACACATCCAAATCAAAAAAAGAAGAGCTGCACAGAGCAATTTGGGAATAACTCATATTTCACCCTGTTTTCCCATATCTTGAGTTTCTTCTACAGAATATTAATTTTGACATGGGGGAAACAACTTTTGCTGCATTATTTGGCATATTTAAACATTTTCGTTATCTGCATATTTAATAAGGGCATTTTACTGACAGCTAGGCAAAAGCAGATTAAAATTCATACGCTAAACATTATCTTAATTGCTTATTATCCTTAAATATCAGCTTAACTTAATACAGGGTAATTTTGTCACTGAGATAAATTATCATTAACATACCATTGAACAAGACACCACATACACCTCCTGAAGTCCTACTGATCTGTATGCAACATGACTGGAGTAACTCTCATCACCACTTAAAGAGATCATTTCCAATTATACGTAATACTAAAGTGGAATTGAAAACTGCTCTTGGTAAGATTGCTTATTTAAGAGACAGACTTGTCATCCCCATAGTCTTCTCCCTCAGATATATATGTATTTGGGTGGCCAGAGGCATCAAATTAAGTCACGTGGCAAGTTTGAAGTCAAAACAACATCAACAATGCACAAGAGGATATTCAGCAAGGATGTCAAGCAGAAAATAGAAAAAACTGAACCAAATAATCAAGAAATATATTATGTGCCTGACACCCTAATGGAAAGCTGATCGTCAAATAAGTTTTCAGTTTAGCCAACCAAACTGTACTTGTCGGTTCAGCAAACTAAATCTAACAGAGAGAACGCATGAGATGTCAAATGCTGACAAGAAAGCTTGCTTCATTCTGTGATGAAAACTAGTTTGGCAAACCACAGCTGCTTCATGTTTTTTTTCTATACAGTCAAGTTATTTAGTGTGTCAGCTGGCTGAAAGTCTTTAGTCTCAGTGAAGAGCAATCTGAATATCTAAGATATACCATGCTATCCTACTGACATGCTGTTTCCAGTCCTCTTTCATCAATATCAACTTAAGAACATTTATAAAACAGAAAAAACAAGCATATTTTAGTAATATGAGCTAATAAACCTCTTTTAAAGATGGGAAAAAACTTTTTTGCTTTTCTAAGTCTAGTCATACGTTGTTGGTTGTAAAAACAGATGTAACAGTAGCCATAACAACAAGTTAGAGAATCTACTCAACCTCAGAGGTATTCGCAGTTCACTTTTATCTGCTACTGCAAGTAACGAATGGATGATTTGCACCACTGCTCAGTACATTCCGCTGCAGAGATGTTCAGTCAGAAGTGATATTTGGTTGTACAAATCTGGACAGATCACCCACCATGAACTAGTAGTTTGAACTCTTTTCTACCTCCAGATTCTACACTGCAAGCCTAGCTAATGGAAAACAGCTTCAGTAGTTTTTCAGTACTGGAAAACCTCAGCACTTGCTCACGAGCAAGTGACCACAGAAAGAGTACATTAGTTACCAATGCTGTACTATGTCTTAAGCAAGACATTTTGTTGACAAGCCAGTTCAAAAAATCCTGGGGAGATGCTCTATAGAAGAGCTTTGAGAGGCAGCTTTGGAAAGAAAGTGGGTCTTTACTTTAAAGCCACACATCTGAATAGAATACTCCACTATTATAATGCTGCTAAGACTCCTATTTTCATCAGGTCAGCCCAAGAGATTTTTCAGATAACAAAGCCCAGAAATTTCAACAGCTAAGAAACAGATCAACCAGTCAAACTTATAGAAGCAAAGACCTTTTAAAAGACTTTTATAGCAAAGAACAATACTATCCCACCTAAACTCCTCCTTTAAAAAAGTACAATTTCATTCCAAACATCACAATGTTCAACAAAAAGAGTTACAGTACGTTAACAGGAGGAAGAAAATGTAGAATGTAAATGTAAACCTGCAATTACTAGCCTTTTATTTCATTATTTAAGCAGTTTGTGTTTAGGAACATTGAAGTTCAGTGATAAAATGAACAGCATTTATGATAGTAAGAGAGACGTATCAGCAGGGTCAAAATACGTCTGAAACTGAAAGGTAAACTTCAGCGCTAGACTGTACATGAGACAAATGGGGATTTTGCTTCATGCATCAAACTAACAGAAAAGGATCACAAACCCGATATGAATGTTAAGTCACAATGAATGGTAAGTCACTAATTTTGCTTTATAAAAAATACTGATGAAGACCTTATCCAGAATAAGATTAAAGCCAGTACACCACTTCATAACATCACTTCTTTATTCGTCATAAAATTCTACAGAATATGCTGTTGTGGCAAAAATACCTGGGATATCAGTGCCTATCACCCTATTATGTATTTGAATTAATTAAAGAATCATTTTCCAACTCATCCCAATGATACTAGTCATAAGTAACTAAGGAAAAAGCTTCTCAAGGTAGAGAAGGGAATGGCAAGGTTGCCAGTTACTGCAAAAGAAACATTTGTGTCATGAAAATACCTATCTCTTTCATGATCCCTCAGTGCAAAAAAATATTTTAAAATATATATATATACATATATTCTTCTTCCACTCTTTCCAAAAAATACTTGATCCCTGGAGAATTGCTAATACATTCTGGATGTTCATTACATGTGTATGTGCTAGCGCCTTGTGGAAAGCTGTCAGTATCCAGGTGGACCCGCAGCTATGCATATTAGGTCTTTTATAAATTACATCACCCATATTTAAGTAAAGAGTAATTTAATTTTAAAGCCTTTGTTTTATTAAAGAGAGGTATTCATCTTTCAATCACAGCTACAGCATTTGTTACTCTCACAACACATAGCTATAACAAGACAGTGTCCCGAAGGGTAGTTTAAAAAAGTTAGACAAGACCATATTTAGCATTAGCAAGAGCAAAACACAAGTGACAGATCAGCTTCCAGGATCAGGAACCCCAGCACCAAAACCAATTTACTTACACAGGGTTAAGTGCTTACTGAAGCATTCCCCTTGGAGATAACAAAACCACAAGGAAAACAAATGCATACCATGAATAAGAGCCTCAGGAGAGAAGCTCTGAAAAGTCTTGCTGAGGCTGTTTAAGATGTCACCACCTGCATACAGCCAGGTCAAAAAAACATCTCCCTCTCTCTGTCCCAGATGCCTCAGTTCAGCATCTAACAGAATCACAGAACTGTTAAGTGTTGGAAGGGACCTCTGGAGACCATCCAGTCCAACCTCCCTGCCAAGGCAGGGTCACTTAAAACAGGTTACACAGCAATGCGTCCAGGTGGGTTTGGAATGTTTCCAGAGAGGGAGAATCCACGACCCCCTGGGCAGCCTGTTCCAGTGCTCTGCCAACCTCAATGAAAAGAAGTTCTTCCTCATCTTGAGGTGAACTACTTCTGTTTTAGTTTATGGCCATTGCTCCTCGTCCTGTTGCTGGGCACCACTGAAAAGAATCTAGCACCATCCTCTTGACACCTGCCTTTGAGATATTTATATGCACTGATGAGATCCCCTCTCAGTCTTCTTTTCTAGGGACTAAACACCTTACCACAAATTTACTTTCAGCAGTTCAAATTAGATGAACGCGCTGAATTGTGCACTGAAAAAGGCAACTACCATGAGCTAGCACGGTACAGACAGCAGGGATAAACAACACACTAAAACATTCTTGCTATACTTGCCAGCATTCATCTTCCATTCTACACGACACAACAAAAAACCTGCGTATTAGTTGTAAAGAGAGTAGAAAGCAACGAGATGAAAAATCTGTTTTGCGCCGCTATTTCGGCACACACGAAAGCGCTTCGGTCATGTCAGGCCGAGCGCCAGCTGCGCCCGCTCGCTCCACAGGTGAAGTTTGCAGGGATAGGGCGAGAGCGCCCAGCCGTGCCCGCCGGACGCCGCATCCCACGGCGGGCGCGCTCCTTCGGCGGCCAGGAGCGTGCCCGCTCCGCCTGCGGCTGCTCCCGCACCTCGCCCCGCTGGGGCGGCCAAGGAGCTGCAAAACCCGGGAGGGATCAAAGCCCGCATCGCCGCCGTGACATCCCGGGAAGGATCGAAGGGCCCGTCTCCCTCTCCGGGAACACCGCCGCAGCCCCGAGAGGCCCCGGCCGGAACCTCGCCCGGGCCGCCGCCGCACTCACCAGTAGGACGGAGCCGCGCACCACCTCTGAGACGCTCTGCCGCAGCTCGGCCGCCGTGCCGGGCTTGCTCAGCGCCCGCGTGAACTTCCGAGTCTCCGGGGCCACGAGTGCCATGGCTGCTCCTGCCTCCGCGCCCGCCCGCTCCCTCCCTCCCTCCCTCGGCGCGGGGCCGCCCGCTGCCCTCCCGGCGCGGCCGCCGGAGGGACGGTCGGACGGGCAGCCGGGGGCGGCCGTCGAGGGGCGTGCAGGGAGCGCAGCTCCACCGGGAGCCGCAGGCAGCCCCTCCCTCCTTCCCTCCCTCCTTCCCTGCTTCCCTCCCTGCCCTGATTGGCGCGGCCGCCAGCTGGGCGGGGGGCGGGACCTCGCCGTGCCCACCTGTTCCCGCAGCGCCGCTCTGATTGGGCGCCCGGTTACCTGCCCGGCTGCGGCTCCGCGCCCTCATTGGCTCAGCGCGAACCCGGGACGGCGGCGGGGGGCGGGGCCGGCCCGAGCCGGAAGTTCCCGCCCAATGCCGAGGGGCACCGCCCCCGGCGGGGAGTGGCGGCCGCGGCTCCGTGCCGGTCGTCTGCCCGGGCTCTGCCCCCGTGGCTGCTGCTCCTGTTTGTACCTGTACCAGGGAGGGAGGTGATCCTGCCCCCACTGCTCAGCCCTAGAGAGGCCACATCTGGAGTACTGCGTCCAGCTGTGGGCTCCTCAGTGCAAGAGAGACACGGAGCTCCTGGAGGAGTCCAGCGGAGGGCAACAAACATGATTAAGGAACATCTCTCTTTTTGGGAAAGGGCGAGGGAACTGGGCCTATTCAGCCTTGAAAAGAGACGACTGAGAGGGGAGCTCGTCAATGTGTGTAAGTATCTGAAGGGAGGGTGCCAAGAGGATGGATCCAGGCTCTGTGCCAAGAAATAGGACAAGAGACAGCAGGCAGAAACTGATGGACAGGAAGTTCCTGAACATGAGGAAGAACTTTACTGTGTGGGTGACCATGCACTGGAACAGATTGCCCAGAGAGGTTGCGAAGTCTCCAACACTGGAGATGTTCAAGAACCACCTGGACACAATCCTGTGCCATGTGCTCTGGGATGACCTGCTTGAACAGGGACATTGGACCAGATGACCCACTGTGGTCCCTTCCAACCTTACCCACTCTGTGATTCTGTACCTTTAGACATACCCCACACATATGTGAAGCTGTGTAAGTGAGAGGGTCGAAAAACTTGGATAATGGTTGCTGGAGCTGCGGCACCCTCAGTGTGGAACAAGTGCATGCGCTGCTCATGCATCCAACTTTGTCTCTGAGGTTTTCCTTTGTACTTTTTTGTCTTCATTAATAGTTTCTGTTTGTAGGCAAAGTTGCTCACATGTCTTCGGTCGAGTAAGGGCCACAAAGGTGATGAGGGGTCTGGAGCATCTCTCTGAAGAGAAGAGACTGCAGGGAGCTGAGCCTGTTTAGTCTGGAGAAGACTAAGAGGGGATCTCATCAATGCATATAAATATCTCATATTAATCTGTCAAAAGGATGGTGCCAGACTCTTCAGTGGTGCTGAGTGACAGGACAAGGAGCAATGGCCATAAACTAAAACAGAAGTAGTTCACCTCAAGATGAGGAAGAACTTCTTTTCATTGAGGTTGGCAGAGCACTGGAACAGGCTACCCAGGGAGGGTGTGGATTCTCCCTCTCTGGAAACATTCCAAACCCACCTGGACGCATTGCTGTGTAACCTGCTCTAAGTGACGCTGGGGTGGTCCAACCCTAGGGTTTGGACGAGATGATATCCAGAGGTCCTTTCCAACCCTGACAATTCGATTCTGTGATTCTGTAAAAGCATGGATGCCTCTAGCTTCCTTAATTACTGTGAATTCCTGCTGAGAGCCTGGCTAGCAGCAATGCTGGAAGGTGTGCAGGCATTAGACACGTTTAAATGCTTCGAGCATTTGAGAGCATTAGGGCTTGCGCACCTTTATCTTCTTAAGCATCTTTTTATATAAACTCACAACACTTCTCTACACTGAATATACAGCTTACCCCTGATGGAGGGAGCAACTGAGTGCTGTGGACAAGGGGTAGAGGGCCTTTCAGGTGGAAAAAAATAGCACAAAGTGCTTGTGTCTGAGGATACGTACTCAAGAAATTAATGCTGGAAAAAGGCCTACTTTTTTGGATGCTTCACAGACACATCTGTAACTAATAAGATTCCAAATAATTGAGGTAATTCCTTCAGAAAGACAGAGGATAAAAAATGTTCGAACATACAAATTTGTAGCTTACACAGAGTTTTTGTTGGTGAAGGATCTCTTCTGCAGATACTTTGCAGACCTGTGTCAAAGGCTCGTTTATTCAAACGCACAAACTGGCTTCTTAGTAGGATGTCTGTCACAACTGGAGTGTTCATATTAGTTTATACCTTCTTTTAGAAAGATAATATGCAGAGAGGGTGACTTATCAGGCTCACTAAAGATCACTAGAATTTCTGACTTCACAAATCCAAGATCTGATGTGTTTATAAGTCAATGTTTAGGCTGAAAAATCAGAAAATTGAGTAAGGGTGAGACAGTATCTGAATACAGAGCTGGATGAGCAGCTATATAGATATTTACCTGGAATGAGCTATCTTAGGATCTTCTTTTTAATTTTTGTATCTCAGTCTGTAGAATATGTCTAGATCTCAAATCTCCACAAGTAAACATGCCCTAGATTTTATCTAAATAATTGATGATTTTTTTCTAAAATAAAATCATATGTTAATTTCAGAGCTTTCAAGTGCTTTGAATTCTGACAATTCTGGCCAAAATAAAAATAGTCTACTGATGTTATGGTTGCTTGAATGTAAAATGGAATAATTTAACTATATTTGCTATCTATAAATATTTCCTATATATATTATGCACTTTGCTGGGAAAGGTTCAGTGTTCCGAGTCTGAAAAACTCTGCATGACACCTGTATAGATAGAGATATGTAGGAAAAATACATCAAATAGGTCAGTAGTTTGTATAAGAAAACTGTACAGGATACCCAAAATATGATGTTATAACAATCGTCCAAGTTTCTTTTCAGCTAAATGCATTCAGTTAAAGAAAGAAAAAGAAAGTGACAGTTTTGTGTATAAAACAAAAGGAAAAATGGGGAAGCTGATAAGCAGGAACGGTAAATTACAGTTGTGAAACAATAAGAATGATTCATAGTACCTAAATATATGAATGAAAAGTCTTGACTTGTTGCCTACAGGACAAGGGGAATACATTTTTTAAAATTTCAGGATCAAGAAAGGAAAAGATCTAGACAGTGGCATGGTTTTCCTGCTACTTCGACATACACAACTTCCAGTAACAATGCTGATGTATAAAAGCATTTTTTTTTTTAATAGAAACCTGGATAGTATAGTAATACTTTATGGGTATAATTGCAAATGTTTTATTCAATCAGTACTTAGTAAGGATGCTAAATAGCAACTGGCGAAGGTCAAAACATTTAAATTTTCAGGACCAACTAAGTCATGTCACAAAATTCTATGGGATTCTAAATAATTCATGATAATAATCAACCTGTGTTTGTTCCAGAAATGAAGAAGAGAAACTGATTTGGCGTCTATTAGAAATGTAAAACAAAGGGGGTTTGGAGCTAAAATAGCATGGCAAGAATTCCCATGCAGATCTGAAAAGTAATTGTATCTTGAAAATCATCATTGATTGGAGACCTCTTTAGCAAAGTACATCAAGGATTTGGTTTTATCCCAATCCTATTAATAATATTTATTAACTTAGGTAAAGAAAACATGAAATAATCGCTAATAACATAGATGCAGCCAGAAATATTTATAGGGAGGAAAGGCATCTAAGTACAAAGAATATTTTAAAGTCAAATTAGAGAGGTGTTATAGTGTGGTTATGAACAACTCAAAAAGATTCATGCTTATGGTACAAACTTTTCATTTAAAATTAAGAAGTATTAATGATGTTTTTATATATGGCATTCCTTGAACTTTTACTGAAATAGTGGCATTTCATTTTAATGCAAATAATTGACAAACTGGAAAAGCCAGGGAAATCTGCCTTGCAGTAAGAGAATGAAGAAGCATCTGTTTAGCTTATACAAAACCTTGATCATAATGTGCTAGAATTTGCAAGAAAATTTCAAATATTAGAAGTTTCTTTAATCTGTCAGGTAAGATGACAGTGAAAACCAATAAATGGCAGGTGAAATTATACTCATTTAGAATATGCACAGGATCCTTTTCTTTTAGACACCAGGGGAGTTATTTGGTATGATATCCCTAAGGAGCCACTACACTCTATTTCCCAATTTCTAAATTAAGATCTAATAGCTTTTCTAAATCCTGGGCTCTAAGTCATCCTTCAAGTTATGGAACTCAAAGCAGAGTTGATGTTATAAAATTTTTTGGCTTATGTTGCTATGGAGGTCAAGCTCAATGATCATCGTAATGTTTCTGGCCTCCAATCCTTGCAGTTAGGAAAAGAACTGACGAGATAATGGCCATCAAAAGTACCAATCTCTTCACTCTAGTGCCCAGTGACAGGACTCATGGAAATGGCATGAAGCTGAGTCAGAGGAGGTTTAGGTTGAATATCAGGAAAGGTTTTTCATCCAGAGGATGAACAGGCTCCCCAGGGAAGTGGTCACAGCACCAAGCCTGACAGAGTTCAAGAAGCATTTGGACAATGCTCTCAGGCACATTGTGTGAGTCTTGGGCTGTCCTGCATAGGGCCAGGAGTTGGACTCATGCTGATAAGTCCCTTCCAACTCATCATATTCTATGATTCTTTGATATGGCTAGAGTAAGTGCTAAAAGAGCAGAGGAAGCAAGGGAGTACTCACTAAACATTAGATATGCAGACAGACTGGAGGTTTTACAAATAATAAACAACTTATAAATAGATCTTAAAATCCAGAGAAGATGCTCTTTTTTTGTTTCTTTTTTTTGTCCTCTAAAAGGCAGAAACATAAAAAGCATAAAAGCATTTTATGAGTAATTTAAAATGAGTTATTAGTTCTGTATACTTGTAAAAGTTAAACAATACTGCTGATAGATAGCTTTCTTAGCATCTTCAAACATACTAACCCATTCAATGATGTGCTGGAGGAGGTTCATTTGAGCTCCTTTTTAAAATTCTCCCAAAGCCTGAAAGGAATA